TCCTAACAACTAAAAACCCTAATTTTTCTTCTTCCTCACTCAAGCCACACGCATGTAGGACAAGTCTTCTTCTTCTCCGACCGATTTTTTTTTTTTTTTGTTCTTCTTTTTTGATTGCTTCCAAATGTTGGTTCATTGATTCGACTTCTTATTTGCGTTCTTCACCTTCTCAATCGATAAGTATTTTTGTATTTTTTCGACATCAATTTTTTTCATTTTTTCTTTGATTTGCTTGTGTTTCTTTCGTTTTTTCTTTGATTTGCATGTATTTCTTTTTATAATAGCCTATATCTGTGAGTAAGAGTGAGATGAATGGTAGAGAGGGCTGTACGTGTAGGCAGTCGATTGTGTGAGGGAGAGGAGTGAACGGGAGGTGGCGTGAGGACGGGAACTGCTCTCCTCTTACTCACCCTCACTCCACTCTCATGGGTATCTTCATTTCCAAATCTCAAAATCTCACTAATTTGAACATTTGGTAATCTGAAGATAGAAAACTACAATGATTCTAAACTTCACTTCAATAGTCTCGTATCCATGCTGCCCCGACTCCAAACTCGATGTTTGTTAACTAAGCAGGACATTCCCAAACTCTTTCTTATCAAAGCCGTACAGCCTTTACCATATATGTGTTATGTTACTCCTTTCTCAGTGAGAGCGCTCGCCCTTGTCATGGTGAGTAATCTTTGCTTGCTTCCGTGATAAGGGGAAGGGGAGTGGTGCCGGGGGCCCCTTCAACAAAAGTCAGGTTTGAAAGCTCTAACACAAAAAGGAGCAACAGCAGCCTTCCGAGCAACCTCCTTTGTGAAAGGAAAATGGTTTCCTTGAAAATTTGATCTTCTATTTGCAAGAGCCCGCTAATCATTAATAACAGATCAACAAAATAATACCATTATTAGAGATTGAAAAAAAAAAAAAACAGAACATACACAAGATAACAGAGAAGAAAAAGCACCAACCTGTCTAACAACAGACCTGGAGTCCATATATCGTCTCACCTTCAACGCATTCTCCTTGGCAGCATTAAATTTCTGATTTTTATTATGTTAAAATAACAAATACAAAATAATATTTAACCAAAACTCTGAATCATGTGGCTGCGAATAACACCAGATAGCATATAAGTGTTCTTTTGTGAGGACATCTTTCTTACCGGAGGTCTTTGCTGCTTCTTTCCTTAAAAGTTGAGGTATTCTTAGACATCTTAATGATATCATCTAGGTTAATAAAGGTAAGAAAACACATGGCTGTTTGTTAATAAAGGTTAATTAATTAGAATTTGAAGTTTGTTTTTTCTTCGTTATCCCTCTGACTATCTTCCTCTCTAATTACGTTCCATGATGTTTTACTTTTTTAAGCTATATTCTTATGAGGATGAGCAAGCTGGACCCTATCCCAGTTTTCACTCCTACTATTGCTCCTTCAGTAGCTCTGACTTTGAATCAAAATTCTTGTAACGAGGAAATTCATTTTGTTCAGCATGCACCGTTTTAAAGCCCAAGGCCCTGATGGCCTGGAAGCTGTATCTTTTCAAAAGTTTTGGCCAATTACCTTTATGATTAAAAATGCTTTTTCTACTGGAGCTTTTCCTAAAGATTTTAATCTGAAAAATCTTTGTTTAAAGACGAAAACTCGACTTGATTGGAAATCTGAGTTTTGTTTTTCTTCATTTTTCTTTACTTTATCTTTCTCTTTGAATGGATTCATATTGTACACTTTTTAGTTTCATAAAAGAGGAAAACTGAGCTTCGTTTCAAAGTTTCACAACCTAATTAGAATAATACATTTTAGACCCATCAAATTTGATGACATTTAGAATGTAGTGGTTAATTTCATTTGGAATTCCTGGTGAAATCATTTTTTATATATATATTTTAATAGAACGATCATCCACGCTAGATGAAGTACAAAATTTCTGAATATATTTACAAAAATGCTGATTGTTTCAATCTTTGCTAAGCTTTTTCATGCTATACATACACTTTAGGAAGACCCAACACCTTACTTATATGATTTTTTGCGAATATTTTTATTTTATCTGCTGGTGGGATCAGCATTAAACTTTCATAAACTCTTTGTTGAGAATAGAAAAACTGAATTTCTAGTTCTATATCCATGAAAAGCAATTAAATTTGAGACAAGATTACTGTCCTCTTAAAATATTGAGGGATCATATGGGTGGCAAATATCATAGTGCCTCTTATTATTTTTAATCTGAGAAGTTTGCAATTGTTTACAAATAACCTTAATTTTCAAAACTTGTGCCAAAAAAGGTAGGTTCCTAAGTAGCTTATATAAATTTTCTTTTTGTTGAGGTTTAGTTTGTCAGTAGGGTATAGCATTTCATCAAAATTTTGTATCAAGCACTGATTTTTTATTTTATAAAAAAAAAATTGAATTGATATTTCAGGACTTCTAGATAGTTATGTTAGTTAATTGCAAACTCTATTTGCATACCATGTTTGTTGATTTAATGTAGGAATCTGTTTTAACTCGAGATAGAATGATGCTGACCTCATTGGGTTTGGATGATTGAGATTTGATGTTGTTTTTATGGGATTTTTATAATCATCACTTGTTGTTTTGTAGAATTACTTGGATGTGAATTTATAAAATTTGTTAAAGAATTTGTAGAATCTGGATGAAATGGTTAGATATATTTGCTAATGCTTTTTATACAAAAAAAAAAGAAATACTATGATTCGTTAGAGGCAAATTACCTTCGTTTCTTGGAGTCAAATTACATTCATACTGCTCTCATCTTTGGCTTAACTAAAAGTAGATCACAACCTTTAAAGATGAAATATAATATATATTTTTAATCTATTCTCCTGTACACCCTCCAAGGCAAAATGCCTCCAAGACATCATAGAAATTTTCATAGAAAGTGACATCTGTGGCTAGAGAAAAGAATAAATGCTAAATACTATTAGGGAACTGTTAACATAGGATGAGGTTAAATAAATATTACCAGAAATTTATTCCCCAAATAGGCGAAAGTGTGTGTTGAGTAAAATGTATGCTATGATTTGCTTTGATTTGGAATAATTAAACTCATTGTTTTTTTTTTTGTTTCAGCTATTTGGTATCGTTTCTGTTTACACATTAGATAAAAAATATAGATATTTTGATACGTGTAATTATTTTACTATGTCAGTTTATCATACTTCATGGGCTAGTAGTTCATAAAAAATGCGAGATAAATTATAGGTTTACTCATGAACTAAGACCAGAGGGAGAGAAAACTCGAGATAAGCTTATAAAAAATTTGTTATCAAGTGATTTTTGTCGTCATATAATTAAGATAAGAACTTCGTCTTTTATGAATTTATGTCGTTTACTATTTATAGATTGTGGACTTAGGCATACCATTCGTGCAACTGTAGAAGAACAAGTATTTCATACACTTTACTTATTATGATACAATGAGAGAAATCGAGTCATATCTTGAATTTTTCAACGATCTGGAAAGACGACAAGTCGTCATTTTCGAATGTATAGTACATATGACCGATAAATTTATTAATCAACCAAATGGATCACAAGTGCTTCCGAAAATAACCGACAATCCCAGATTTTTTCTATTCTTTAA